TATTGAATCCGCCATTTTGAATTTTAAAAAACTAACATCACAATCGTAATCAGGGACCTCAAAAACCCTTAGAGAGCACCTTTAGTTATCAAAAAAAATATACTCAATTTGTTTTAAAAGAGGAGAGAAAAAGTATGTCTATTATAACCTCAATTATTCAAAACCAAATAATTTTTAATTAATTTCTATTGTATAGGTTCGAATAAGTTGACTCAAAATCTACTAAGAAAAATGTTTTTTCAAAGAAATACGAGCTGCCACCTTGTGCAGTAATGAATAATAGAGATTTTTTAATGAAACTTTTGACTTCCACGTAAATTTTTAAGGTTATAAAATTATTATTAACGTTTCTGCTTATTTTTCCTGTAATCTGTGTACATCAATCTTTACTCTCCAACAAGATTTATCCTTTTATGTTGTTTCTGCTCAGAGTTCTATACGATTTTGGAACGAAAAAGAGCGAAATCACCCACTGTGAGTCCATTCTAAAATCTCACATATAATTCAAAGTATTTTCCCATTTTAAAAGAATCATTTTCTATTAAAAACAAATTATTTTTTGAATAGAAAAATTTTCAAAATTAAAATTTAAGTTATAAATGAAAAATTACAGTATATATACGAATAGCCTCATAAAAATTGTAAAAAGGATAGAATTTTAAATGACATCGCGTAGTTTACATTTCGAGGTATATAATGATTTAATAAGTAATGAGGGGTTGTGATTGAGCGACCCTCGCCAATTTTAAATCTACGTCAAAGCCATCGATATTACATTCTTACGGTCGTATCACTCTATCTCTTTCTCTCTCTCAAAGTCCAAAAAACAAGTTCCATTAGTTTCATTTAATAGCTCTCGAAACTTTAACAATTTGCATTTGCATTACATTCATCGATAATGGTGGCTATATATAAACAGATATGATTTAAATACTTTCTTCATCTACACAAATCACACACGTTTGTCTTTCTTATAAATTTCAAACGACAAAATTTCTTCTTCGATATTAATGCAAATTTTTGCCGATAAATTATACATACGCATAAATTCACATTTATTTCCATTTGGAAAGTTTTCTCATTTTTTTTTGTCTCAAATAATAAAAAAAAAAAAAATTACGGGTGTAAAATGTAACACTGTAGGGGTAAATTGAACAAAAATTAATCCTATTGTAGAAATAAATTTTGTATTTTTTAATTCTATTTTACGGGGTAAAACGTACACTGTGGGGGGTACATATTGAACAAAAATTGAAAACTAGTATTCTTTTCCATTTTTTGACTTCATCTCATATGATTTTTCCTAGACTAGTTTTAGTGATCTAAAAATAGATTTTTAATGTAAAACAATTTTTTCTAAAAAATCTTGTCAATATATACATGTGAATGAAGGAAGTTTGTGTAACAGTTGCAAAGCGTTTGTTCAATAGGAAAGCGACTAATTGACAAACATTGACGAACAGAGTATATTAACCAAGTGGCTTTGTTTACAAGTTTGACCACTGGTTCAACAGCAGTATGATCATTCCCTACGAGACCTTTCCGATCCATTTCTCCTCAATCTAGTATATGCCTTAGACAAACAATTAGTGACATTTCTAATACTACCCTTTACCAAAGAGGACAAATTACCTCCTTCTATATGGGTCAATATGGTACAAAAATATGTAAGATACTTGGCATTTTTTTATCAAAGACAAACTTACCCCAAACACGCGGGGTAATACCTACACGCCGGGGGTAAAACTGACTGTCAGGGCAAAATTATATTTCTAATACTGTCTTTACCAAACTTAATGTGTCTTTTCAAGTGTTCGTATTACCCCCATACGCGGGGTAATTAGTACACTCCAAAGTAAAATTAACCGGGGAAAGTTTTCACAATAATATGTATTAATTATTTAAAAGTCAAAACATTAATTTAGTTTTGTTTAATATGGACAATATATTTACACTGAACATTCCATGCTGTATTTCAGAGAATATTTTTACAACAGAAGAAATGCAAACGAGATTTGTTTTTTTTTTTTTTTTTAATTTGTAAAGTTTAATTCGCCACGAAAGTGCGTACATAAATTTCGCCCACCATGTGAATGACATTAACACGCATATACGTAGATGAACGAAGATAGTGCGTGGTCACAGCAGCAGAAGCGCGGGGACGAGAAAGAGAGAATATGGCGGTGATTCTTTTGATCGAAAGATAACCGTTCGACGCGACGCGTCCGGAAACCCGAGCAGTTATTCTTTTGTCGTCGTGTGATCAGAAGGCGAACAGAAAACAACCCCCCCCCCATGCCATTGGGGCCCAGCGCACGGTAATTGCCCATCAGTTTCTCAGATTTCGAGCGTAATGAGAGCGCGATACGGCTTATTGGAGTCATTTCGCACGAAAAAAAAAAAAAAAAAAATTGAAAAAATAAGAATCATCCTCATTCACTTAATATTCCTCTGTCCTCGAGTTTAATGGGCCACCCCGTAGTTTCAAGAGTTTTACACCGCGATAGTCAATTCTCTCTTTCTCTTGCTCATCACATTATTGCCAACTGAAATTCTTTTCAAAAAGAATATGGCACTATTTTTAGTATGAAAAGAAATTGCCATTATTAAGTATGGTGCGGTTATATTATTGTATATATTATGGCGAGAATATATATATGAAAATTGTCAGGCAATCAAAGTAATTACCGAGATTTTTAATGTTGGTTGTGAAAATTTCATTTTTAGGATAATGGCAAAAAAATTTTAAGTGGCGAAAATTATAATTATATTTTTCGGTTATATTCGGTAGACCATTTTCTAAATTTTACACAAAAAAAAAATAGGAAGGGCAAATTAAAATATGTTCACCTGAAATAAATAACAATTTTTATAATTTCAAACATTCAAAATAATGTCGTGCTACTTTTGGTAATTAATTTCTAAAACATAGAAGCTGTATTTGAGAAATTAAACATTTTAGGTTGTGTTGCTATACGTTCGTAGAAAAAAAATTGGACTTACCGATCGCGGATTCCTTCGACGAGCATCCTCCTTCCTGTCCTTTAGCCGGAAAAATAAAAAAAGTCAAAATAATAATTAAAAATCACAAAAAATTACATTGCATAAAAATAAATAAAATTCTTCATATATTTTTTTATCTACAATCATTAAAAATTATAAAATAAAAATCTTACCGTGGACACTCTTCGCCCCATGCCCGATCTCCAACCCGAAGCGGCACTCGAGCGGTGATTTCCAAAATGGCACCAAATAAACACTCACTCGCGGTTTTAGAAATTTTGGACACTCCCGACGAACCACGTGTTTACTGTACAACTGAAAACTTACTTATGCGATCGTGGTTTTAAATATTACGAACACTCCTAATAGTAAAAAAAAATTATTTTAATTAAAATTAATTAAATGAAAATTATTTCACTGAAAAGATAAATTAAAAAATTAATATAATACTCGATCGTGGGTTTAAGAAATTCGAGCACTTCTGAAAAATAAAAATTCACTTTTGAAAAAATTGATAAATTAAATAATTTTACTAACACGTGATTTAAAGCCTGACGCGCGAAGGTACTTTTCCAAAATGTATCGATATACCTGACCAACTCAACTGAAGTGATCTCACCCACTCCTAAATAATTGATAGAGGATACAATGAAATTGTAAACACGTAATTGCAAGAAAATTAGGCGCCCTTGGTAATTTCGAATTTTCCACCAATCACATGAAGGCAAAATATCCCCGAAACAGAGAGAACAGATACTTGTCTCACCTTTTCTCTATCACTTTTTTATTTTTTCTACTTAATTTTAATTTAAATATTAAAATATTTATTTATTATAAAAATAAATCGTTTTGTATCAAAATAATTTTCTATTTTTGAATACAATGTATTTATTCCAAGAATAAAATTATAATAATATAAAGATAGAAAATATAAAAAATTTTATCCCCGCCACAATGTATTATTAGCATTATATTATCATAATATAATGATAAAAAATAGACCACGTGTTCACAAATTCGAATCCTCTGTGAGACGATTGTCTTCCACCGAATGGTCAACACGTCGAACTCAAAAAATGTCGAAAATTTTTTTACATCAGTCAATAAAAATTTTCCAAGTCTTCGCTTTTCGACGTATTGACCGTTCGATGAAAAGCAAGCGTCTGTCTGGTCACATTTTTGGAAAAATATCATCGCGCCTCATTTTCGGTATTAAAACCACGAGGTATTGAAATTATTTAACATCATAAATTTATTCATAAGTAAATTTATATTTTTTGGGAGTCCTCGAATTTCAAAAACCAGCGCTCGAGTTATATGAACCATTTAATTTAAGTTTCCTGTGATATAATTTTTATTCAGTTAATATTAATTAACAATAATTATATTACTATCGAGAGTATTAGTAATATTTAAATCAGCGATCGCATAAGTAAGTCTTCAGTTGTAAACTAAACACGTGGTTCGGGAGTGTCCGAAATTTATAAAACCGCGAACGAGTGTTTTTTTCGGTGACAATTTTTGGAAAACACCGTCCGAGTGCCGCTCCAGGATGCAGATCGGGCATGGTCACGATAAGATTTTTATTTCATAATTTATAATGAATGTAGAAAAAAATAAAGAATTTTATGTAAGGAATTCTAACACGTACTTAACCAATTTTTTTATGCCAAGGATTGACAAAATTGTGCCAATAGGTGTCTTCCTCTATTCGTATTTGTCTGTCAATTTTTTTCTACACTTTTAGGTGTAATTTGTGCAAGATATTGCAATAAAATAATCTGCCTAAGAAAAATTGAATTTTTTTGGGAACTTTTTTATGATTTTGGATTTTTGGGTTGGATGACTTTTTGGTGGTAATAAGTGTCTTCCTCTACTCGTATTTGGCTGTCAATTTTTTTCTACACTTTTAGGAGTATTTTGTGCAAGAATATGCTTTAAAATCGTCTGCCTAAAAAAAATTGAATTTTTTTGGGAACTTTTTTATGATTCTGGATTTTTGGGTTGGATGACTTTTTGGTGGTAATAGGTGTCTTCCTCTACTCGTATTTGGCTGTCAATTTTTTTCTACCCTTTTAGGAGTATTTTGTGCAAGAATATGCATTAAAATCGTCTGCCTAAGAAAAATTGAATTTTTTTGGGAACTTTTTTATGATTTTGGATTTTTGGGTTGGATGACTTTTTGGTGGTAATAGGAGTCTTCCTCTACTCGTATTTGGCTGTCAATTTTTTTCTACACTTTTAGGAGTATTTTGTGCAAGAATATGCATTAAAATCGTCTGCCTAAGAAAAATTAATTTTTTTAGGACCTTTTTTATGATTTTGGATTTTTGGGTTGGATGACTTTTTGGTGCCAATAGGTGTCTTCCTCTACTCGTATTTGGCTGTCAATTTTTTTCTACACTTTTAGGAGTATTTTGTGCAAGAATATGCATTAAAATCGTCTGCCTAAGAAAAATTAATTTTTTTAGGACCTTTTTTATGATTTTGGATTTTTGGGTTGGATGACTTTTTGGTGCCAATAGGTGTCTTCCTCTACTCGTATTTGGCTGTCAATTTTTTTCTACACTTTTAAGAGTATTTTGTGCAAGAATATGCATTAAAATCGTCTGCCTAAGAAAAATTGAATTTTTTTGGGAACTTTTTTATGATTTTGGATTTTTGGGTTGGATGACTTTTTGGTGGTAATAGGTGTCTTCCTCTACTCGTATTTGGCTGTCAATTTTTTTCTACACTTTTAGGAGTATTTTGTGCAAGAATATGCATTAAAATCGTCTGCCTAAGAAAAATTAATTTTTTTAGGACCTTTTTTATGATTTTGGATTTTTGGGTTGGATGACTTTTTGGTGGTAATAGGTGTCTTCCTCTACTCGTATTTGGCTGTCAATTTTTTTCTACCCTTTTAGGAGTATTTTGTGCAAGAATATGCATTAAAATCGTCTGCCTAAGAAAAATTGAATTTTTTTGGGAACTTTTTTATGATTTTGGATTTTTGGGTTGGATGACTTTTTGGTGGTAATAGGAGTCTTCCTCTACTCGTATTTGGCTGTCAATTTTTTTCTACACTTTTAGGAGTATTTTGTGCAAGAATATGCATTAAAATCGTCTGCCTAAGAAAAATTAATTTTTTTAGGACCTTTTTTATGATTTTGGATTTTTGGGTTGGATGACTTTTTGGTGCCAATAGGTGTCTTCCTCTACTCGTATTTGGCTGTCAATTTTTTTCTACACTTTTAGGAGTATTTTGTGCAAGAATATGCATTAAAATCGTCTGCCTAAGAAAAATTAATTTTTTTAGGACCTTTTTTATGATTTTGGATTTTTGGGTTGGATGACTTTTTGGTGCCAATAGGTGTCTTCCTCTACTCGTATTTGGCTGTCAATTTTTTTCTACACTTTTAAGAGTATTTTGTGCAAGAATATGCATTAAAATCGTCTGCCTAAGAAAAATTGAATTTTTTTGGGAACTTTTTTATGATTTTGGATTTTTGGGTTGGATGACTTTTTGGTGGTAATAGGTGTCTTCCTCTACTCGTATTTGGCTGTCAATTTTTTTCTACACTTTTAGGAGTATTTTGTGCAAGAATATGCATTAAAATCGTCTGCCTAAGAAAAATTAATTTTTTTAGGACCTTTTTTATGATTTTGGATTTTTGGGTTGGATGACTTTTTGGTGGTAATAGGTGTCTTCCTCTACTCGTATTTGGCTGTCAATTTTTTTCTACACTTTTAGGAGTATTTTGTGCAAGAATATGCATTAAAATCGTCTGCCTAAGAAAAATTAAATTTTTTTGGGAACTTTTTTATGATTTTAGATTTTTGGGTTGGATGACTTTTTGGTGGTAATAGGTGTCTTCCTCTACTCGTATTTGTCTGTCAATTTTTTTCTACACTTTTAGGAGTATTTTGTGCAAGAATATGCATTAAAATCGTCTGCCTAAGAAAAATTAATTTTTTTAGGACCTTTTTTATGATTTTGGATTTTTGGGTTGGATGACTTTTTGGTGGTAATAGGTGTCTTCCTCTACTCGTATTTGGCTGTCAATTTTTTTCTACACTTTTAGGAGTATTTTGTGCAAGAATATGCATTAAAATCGTCTGCCTAAGAAAAATTGAATTTTTTTGGGAACTTTTTTATGATTTTGGATTTTTGGGTTGGATGACTTTTTGGTGGTAATAGGAGTCTTCCTCTACTCGTATTTGGCTGTCAATTTTTTTCTACACTTTTAGGAGTATTTTGTGCAAGAATATGCATTAAAATCGTCTGCCTAAGAAAAATTGAATTTTTTGGGAACTTTTTTATGATTTTGGATTTTTGGGTTGGATGACTTTTTGGTGGTAATAGGTGTCTTCCTCTACTGGCATTTGGCTGTCAATTTTTTTCTACTTTTTTAGGAGTATTTTGTGCAAGAATATGCATTAAAATCGTCTGCCTAAGAAAAATTGAATTTTTTTGGGAACTTTTTTATGATTTTGGATTTTTGGGTTGGATGACTTTTTGGTGGTAATAGGTGTCTTCCTCTACTCGTATTTGGCTGTCAATTTTTTTGTACTTTTTTAGGAGTATTTTGTGCAAGAATATGCATTAAAATCGTCTTCCTAAGAAAAATTGAATTTTTTTGGGAACTTTTTTATGATTTTGGATTTTTGGGTTGGATGACTTTTTGGTGGTAATAGGTGTCTTCCTCTACTCGTATTTGGCTGTCAATTTTTTTCTACTTTTTTAGGAGTATTTTGTGCAAGAATATGCATTAAAATCGTCTGCCTAAGAAAAATTGAATTTTTTTGGGAACTTTTTTATGATTTTGGATTTTTGGGTTGGATGACTTTTTGGTGGTAATAGGTGTCTTCCTCTACTCGTATTTGGCTGTCAATTTTTTTCTACTTTTTTAGGAGTATTTTGTGCAAGAATATGCATTAAAATCGTCTGCCTAAGAAAAATTGAATTTTTTTGGGAACTTTTTTATGATTTTGGATTTTTGGGTTGTTTGACTTTTTGGTGCCAATAGGTGTCTTCCTCTACTCGTATTTGGCTGTCAATTTTTTTCTACACTTTTAGGAGTATTTTGTGCAAGAATATGCATTAAAATCGTCTGCCTAAGAAAAATTGAATTTTTTTTGGGAACTTTTTTATGATTCTGGATTTTTGGGTTGGATGACTTTTTGGTGCCAATAGGTGTCTTCCTCTACTCGTATTTGGCTGTCAATTTTTTCCTACACTTTTAGGAGTATTTTGTGCAAGAATATGCATTAAAATCGTCTGCCTAAGAAAAATTGAATTTTTTTGGGAACTTTTTTATGATTTTGGATTTTTGGGTTGTTTGACTTTTTGGTGCCAATAGGTGTCTTCCTCTACTCGTATTTGGCTGTCAATTTTTTTCTACACTTTTAGGAGTATTTTGTGCAAGAATATGCATTAAAATCGTCTGCCTAAGAAAAATTGAATTTTTTGGGAACTTTTTTGTGATTTTGGATTTTTGGGTTGGATGACTTTTTGGTGGTAATAGGTGTCTTCCTCTACTCGTATTTGGCTGTTAATTTTTTTCTACACTTTTAGGAGTATTTTGTGGAAGAATATGCTTTAAAATCGTCTGCCTAAGAAAAATTAATTTTTTTTAGAACCTTTTTTATGATTTTGGATTTTTGGGTTGTTTGACTTTTTGGTGCCAATAGGTGTCTTCCTCTACTCGTATTTGGCTGTCAATTTTTTTCTACACTTTTAGGAGTATTTTGTGCAAGAATATGCATTAAAATCGTCTGCCTAAGAAAAATTGAATTTTTTTTGGGAACTTTTTTATGATTCTGGATTTTTGGGTTGGATGACTTTTTGGTGCCAATAGGTGTCTTCCTCTACTCGTATTTGGCTGTCAATTTTTTCCTACACTTTTAGGAGTATTTTGTGCAAGAATATGCATTAAAATCGTCTGCCTAAGAAAAATTGAATTTTTTTGGGAACTTTTTTATGATTTTGGATTTTTGGGTTGTTTGACTTTTTGGTGCCAATAGGTGTCTTCCTCTACTCGTATTTGGCTGTCAATTTTTTTCTACACTTTTAGGAGTATTTTGTGCAAGAATATGCATTAAAATCGTCTGCCTAAGAAAAATTGAATTTTTTGGGAACTTTTTTGTGATTTTGGATTTTTGGGTTGGATGACTTTTTGGTGGTAATAGGTGTCTTCCTCTACTCGTATTTGGCTGTTAATTTTTTTCTACACTTTTAGGAGTATTTTGTGGAAGAATATGCTTTAAAATCGTCTGCCTAAGAAAAATTAATTTTTTTTAGAACCTTTTTTATGATTTTGGATTTTTGGGTTGGATGACTTTTTGGTGGTAATAGGTGTCTTCCTCTACTCGTATTTGGCTGTCAATTTTTTTCTACTTTTTTAGGAGTATTTTGTGCAAGAATATGCATTAAAATCGTCTGCCTAAGAAAAATTGAATTTTTTTGGGAACTTTTTTATGATTTTGGATTTTTGGGTTGGATGACTTTTTGGTGGTAATAGGTGTCTTCCTCTACTCGTATTTGGCTGTCAATTTTTTTGTACTTTTTTAGGAGTATTTTGTGCAAGAATATGCATTAAAATCGTCTTCCTAAGAAAAATTGAATTTTTTTGGGAACTTTTTTATGATTTTGGATTTTTGGGTTGGATGACTTTTTGGTGGTAATATGTGTCTTCCTCTACTCGTATTTGGCTGTCAATTTTTTTCTACACTTTTAGGAGTATTTTGTGCAAGAATATGCATTAAAATCGTCTGCCTAAGAAAAATTAATTTTTTTAGGACCTTTTTTATGATTTTGGATTTTTGGGTTGGATGACTTTTTGGTGGTAATAGGTGTCTTCCTCTACTCGTATTTGGCTGTCAATTTTTTTCTACCCTTTTAGGAGTATTTTGTGCAAGAATATGCATTAAAATCGTCTGCCTAAGAAAAATTGAATTTTTTTGGGAACTTTTTTATGATTTTGGATTTTTGGGTTGGATGACTTTTTGGTGGTAATAGGAGTCTTCCTCTACTCGTATTTGGCTGTCAATTTTTTTCTACACTTTTAGGAGTATTTTGTGCAAGAATATGCATTAAAATCGTCTGCCTAAGAAAAATTGAATTTTTTGGGAACTTTTTTATGATTTTGGATTTTTGGGTTGGATGACTTTTTGGTGGTAATAGGTGTCTTCCTCTACTCGTATTTGGCTGTCAATTTTTTCTACTTTTTTAGGAGTATTTTGTGGAAGAATATGCTTTAAGATCGTCTGCCTAAGAAAAATTGAATTTTTTTGGGTACTTTTTTATGATTTTGGATTTTTGGGTTGTATGACTTTTTGGTGGTAATAGGTGTCTTCCTCTACTCGTATTTGGCTGTCAATTTTTTTCTACACTTTTAGGAGTATTTTGTGCAAGAATATGCATTAAAATCGTCTGCCTAAGAAAAATTGAATTTTTTTGGGAACTTTTTTGTGATTTTGGATTTTTGGGTTGGATGACTTTTTGGTGGTAATAGGTGTCTTCCTCTACTGGCATTTGGCTGTCAATTTTTTTCTACTTTTTTAGGAGTATTTTGTGCAAGAATATGCTTTAAAATCGTCTGCCTAAGATAAATTGAATTTTTTTGGGAACTTTTTTGTGATTTTGGATTTTTGGGTTGGATGACTTTTTGGTGGTAATAGGTGTCTTCCTCTACTCGTATTTGGCAGTTAATTTTTTTCTACACTTTTAGGAGTATTTTGTGGAAGAATATGCTTTAAAATCGTCTGCCTAAGAAAAATTAATTTTTTTTAGGACCTTTTTTATGATTTTGGATTTTTGGGTTGGATGACTTTTTGGTGGTAATAGGTGTCTTCCTCTACTCGTATTTGGCTGTCAATTTTTTTCTACTTTTTTAGGAGTATTTTGTGGAAGAATATGCTTTAAAATCGTCTGCCTAAGAAAAATTGAATTTTTTTGGGTACTTTTTTATGATTTTGGATTTTTGGGTTGTATGACTTTTTGGTGGTAATAGGTGTCTTCCTCTACTCGTATTTGGCTGTCAATTTTTTTCTACACTTTTAGGAGTATTTTGTGCAAGAATATGCATTAAAATCGTCTGCCTAAGAAAAATTGAATTTTTTGGGAACTTTTTTATGATTTTGGATTTTTGGGTTGGATGACTTTTTGGTGGTAATAGGTGTCTTCCTCTACTGGCATTTGGCTGTCAATTTTTTTCTACTTTTTTAGGAGTATTTTGTGCAAGAATATGCTTTAAAATCGTCTGCCTAAGATAAATTGAATTTTTTTGGGAACTTTTTTGTGATTTTGGATTTTTGGGTTGGATGACTTTTTGGTGGTAATAGGTGTCTTCCTCTACTCGTATTTGGCAGTTAATTTTTTTCTACACTTTTAGGAGTATTTTGTGGAAGAATATGCTTTAAAATCGTCTGCCTAAGAAAAATTAATTTTTTTTAGGACCTTTTTTATGATTTTGGATTTTTGGGTTGGATGACTTTTTGGTGGTAATAGGTGTCTTCCTCTACTCGTATTTGGCTGTCAATTTTTTTCTACTTTTTTAGGAGTATTTTGTGGAAGAATATGCTTTAAAATCGTCTGCCTAAGAAAAATTGAATTTTTTTGGGTACTTTTTTATGATTTTGGATTTTTGGGTTGTATGACTTTTTGGTGGTAATAGGTGTCTTCCTCTACTCGTATTTGGCTGTCAATTTTTTTCTACACTTTTAGGAGTATTTTGTGCAAGAATATGCATTAAAATCGTCTGCCTAAGAAAAATTGAATTTTTTGGGAACTTTTTTATGATTTTGGATTTTTGGGTTGGATGACTTTTTGGTGGTAATAGGTGTCTTCCTCTACTGGCATTTGGCTGTCAATTTTTTTCTTCTTTTTTAGGAGTATTTTGTGCAAGAATATGCTTTAAAATCGTCTGCCTAAGATAAATTGAATTTTTTTGGGAACTTTTTTGTGATTTTGGATTTTTGGGTTGGATGACTTTTTGGTGGTAATAGGTGTCTTCCTCTACTCGTATTTGGCAGTTAATTTTTTTCTACACTTTTAGGAGTATTTTGTGGAAGAATATGCTTTAAAATCGTCTGCCTAAGATAAATTAATTTTTTTAGGACCTTTTTTATGATTTTGGATTTTTGGGTTGGATGACTTTTTGGTGGTAATAGGTGTCTTCCTCTACTCGTATTTGGCTGTCAATTTTTTTCTACCCTTTTAGGAGTATTTTGTGCAAGAATATGCATTAAAATCGTCTGCCTAAGAAAAATTGAATTTTTTTGGGAACTTTTTTATGATTTTGGATTTTTGGGTTGGATGACTTTTTGGTGGTAATAGGAGTCTTCC